CCAGACTGAATCTATTATTTAAATACCAAGCCTTGTCATTTCTAATAGTTATCACTGTTGGACATTGTGGATTTTAGCTGTCACAAATATATGAGGCCTGTCTACACATTTATTTTTCCGTTGACCCCTTAAAATTGATCCAAAAAAAAAATAAATGTTGCTCCTTTTATTCTGTTAAAATCCCCCAAGTGTTTAGCTCTAATGTGTAACATGAAGACCAAAGGAAAACTTGATTCAGTTATTACTTCTAGCTAATCTGAATGTAAGGTTTTGGCATTTAAGATTCTGAGGCAATCCCATCTCAGGTTTCCAATTTCATATAGAAGTAAATCTTCTGAATGCATAAGTCCTACCAATTTTTCTTGGTGTGTTTCTAAAAAATTCTACCTCTAATATAATACTATCTTTTAGAAATTCTTAGGAACTTTCTCCTATGCTATTCCTAATAATATTATTACTGATCAATTTTATGTATCATTATACTTTTTCAAGAATTTTGAATTACTTGATCCATGCAATATCTGTTAAGATATAAAAAGCCTAAGTACAACCCATTGTCCCATTTCACAGATGCATAAAAGAAGTCACAGATGGGACAAATGAATTGCCCCAAATAACACATTTAGCTTACAGCAAACTCAAAACTAATTCAAGTGAGGAGTTTGAGACTGGTAGAATAATTGTTCCAATTCACCAAAAAGTCAACCTAAATTATGCTAATGTTAGTAGCAAAGGCCAATGTGGTAATTAAATCTTAATTGTTACACTGATTTTAAAGATAATATAAGTTCTCTAGCTGATTCTTTTCATGATGGTACCCTAAAATATTAATTATCAATTAAATTATAATTCACTTAAGGGACATTCAATTGCCTGATAAATACAAAGCGCTTTTCTGGATGCTTAGGATAGATTTATCAATAAAGCAAGCAATAAAACAGGAAAAAAAATCCTTGACTTCATAGATACTACGTTTACTCAGAGAAAAATTAGTAAATGACATAGTGATGTTAAATAACAAATATTATATATTAAAAGGTAAATGGTTAAGGGAAAAGAAAAAATGCATCAGAGTAAAAGGGATAAGGCAGTGGGCAGACTTTTGTGTGTGTTAGGTTGGTCATGGTGGGAATCCTTGAAAAGGGGAGATAACAGTGGACGTCCCACAGAAGTAGAAATGGCCAGAGAAAAGCTCCAGAGAGCATCCTGGTTTGTTTAAAGAGCAGGAAGGAAAGCCAGTGTGACTGAAGCAGTGTTAGCAAGCCTAAAGTTGTATGAGATAAGGTTAAAAAAAATGGCAGAAAGATTATGCTGGGCCTTGGAGGCTACCAAAGAAATCATCTTCAAATGAATATAGCTGCATTACAGGATTTTGAGCAGACAAGTGGTGTGATCTGACTTAAATTTTTAAAAGGAATTATTATGAATCATTAAATATCTCAAACTTTTATAACCTAATATATTATATAACCTTTGTCATATATCTGAATCCCAATATACTCTCCTCTTCTCAGAATAAAATATTATTATTCCTATCTTCCCAAAGAAAATATCAAGTCTCAGAATTTCTAAGTAACTTCTCTAGGGTAAGATCTAGTAAGTAAGTAATGGAGTCAGGTGAAAAGAACAATTTTTCTAACTTATAATTAAAAACTACTCCCTCTTTACTAAGTACTGGTAAATTAAAATAACACATGAGATTAGTCATCTAGATTATCCATCAACAGAGATATTCATTTCAATATATTAAAAATGTACAGAACTTAAATCCATTTTCCCTTGTTGTAAATTTCTGAAATAAAATGATAAAGGTAATTTCCCTGAACATTAAGCTTAAGAATGTTGGATGCAAAAAAAAGTGCTCACGTTAATTTAAGTTTGCAACAATACGTATGAAAATAATTTCAAAGCCTATTAATTGTCACTTATTGACTATTAGATGCCAGTTATTATACTAAATTCTTTACATATGTCATCATGTTTAATATTATCCAAAGAATGGTAATTCAAATAACAAAAGTGCATCCAGAGAGTTCAAGTTACACAACTTAAAGTTGATACTACTGCTGGGGTTTTACCTAAGTCTCCAGAGGATAAAGTTAGTTTCTCTCATTAAGCTATACTGTCATATGTTATTCAACATATCACCACAACATTTTTAACTAGAAGGTCAGCAAAATATGAGTAGTCCCATTTTCCAGATGATTAACTGATTATAGAAAAGTTAATCAAGCAATCAACATTTATTTTATACTTACAATATGCAAATCAATATTTAGTTGCTGAAATCACAGAGAATTTATGATACAATATATTGCCTCAATGAGCTTACAATCTTATTATGGTGTCAAGAGACATATAAAGATGTAATAAATAATACAAGATAACATAGAATAAGTCCCCAATGAGATATAGAGCCAAAAACTGCTAAAGAAATTCAACAGAGAGAAAATTGAATCTGGATGCTACAATTCAGTAAAGAAAGATCTTTATCAAAGAGGACTGGTGTTAAGATGATTTTTCCAGGAAAAGGTAGGTATTAGATAAAAGCCGAGAGGAGTAGGAATATCACTCCACCAAAGGTCAAAGAACAGGTGGGAATGCATTATCAAGAGAAAATGAATAGAAGAGATGAAAGAGCAAGTTGGATGGGAGGTGAGATAAAGTGGTAAAGGAAGCCAGAGAAGTAGATTCTGGAAAGCCTTGATAAATTAGAAATTTAAATTATGAGGGTAAGAGTTGGAAGTTGTTGAAATGTTAGTAGGGACCTATGCTTTGTATACACTTAGTGTTTGTGTTTGTGTAATCCTCCCGACAGGGTAAAAAGGTGGATAAAACAAAAGGCATTTTAAATAAAAGGAAACAGACCCTATCTGGGCAAGGCACAGTTTTGTGTGTGTGGAAGGAGGAGAGCTCCATTCTGTATCTATCTGTTGGCCTCCAGTGCCTATAAGGCAAGAAAAACCACTTAGTTTATTGCATTGGTCAAAATAACAAAGTAATTAGAATCTATAATTGAGTCAAACAATGGAAATATAGAAATTTAAGAGATAATAAAAAACAAAGAAAGAGATCATTGGAAATATTCAAATCCAGGTAATTTTTGCTACCCAGCCACATAATAACAGGGCAAATATTTCCCCTAAAAATATGAAGAGACAAAGTCCAAAGTCTACCTTGAATACCTTGATATTTTTTGACAGCATATGATTTATTTAAAAATAATAAATTCTATGCCTTAGAAAAAAATCTGCATTAGTGCAATATATATCTGAAACCACATCGTGAATCACAACAGGCTTGTGCTAGAATCACTTCTATTATATGAGTTTGGCAATAGCCTATTGCCACATATCCTAACATAGATGACAAGCCCTTATAGTCATGCGTATTAGATATATTAATTACTAGGGTAACATTATTTTAATTTTTTATTAAATATATATGAACTTAGATATATTAATTACTAAGGTAACATTATTTTAATTTTTATTAAATATATATGAACTTATTGAATTCTCCCTTAAGGAAATAATGTGTCATATTTGAGAACATTATTCCTCCCTAAGACTTCTCTTAAAATGAGATATTATTCAGGGATTCAAGTAAAAAAAAAACTAATAGTGACTGAATACCACAATATTTAACAAGGAGTTGGGTCTCCTCTGACTTTTTCTTACCCCTGAGGAATCCAAAACATACAATTTCCAAAGGTATATGTCAAATACCCACCAATGTAGCATACGTAAAATATGCACATAAATTTTTCAAAAGATTATTCACATAAATAATCAGATATTTAGTCAATAAATTTTGTTGGGGTACTGGAAATTAAATCCAGAGTGATTTATTGCTGAGCTACATCCTCATCCCTTTATAAATTATTATTATTATATTTTTACATTGAGATAGGATTTCACTAAGTTGAGGAGGCAGGCCTGAAATTTACAAATCTCCTGCTTCAGGCTCCCAAATAACTTTGATTATAGGTCCCCAGACAACAGAAATATCTTAAAGTAACTTAATATCAGAAAGTTGCCAAACCTGACAATAACCAGGATAGCTTAGTATCAACTCTTCGATCAATTTGTCTTGATTTTTAATTAATGTCTTACTAATTATGGATACATAAGTGTATTTATCACATGTAGGTATGATGACATACATCACATATATTATATATGCATGTATATATATGTGTATATACATGTGTGTATATCATATTATAATTAATCAGGAATGGAATGTTTCGACTCAAGAATCCTTTTAGGAATTATAAACCTACCCTATTTTACCTAATTCTTTAGCAACACCTAGCAATGCTGAAAGATAATTAAAATTTTACGTATTAGCCAAGCCTACTTTCCTTTAAATTCATGGATAAAAAAAATATTCATTTCATGAGTTAAAAATTAATGCTTAAGTTTGAAATCAAACTGTGCCACAACCAAATAATTCAGGCTTATAACCTATGTATAGCTAAGATATCTGAAAGTTTGAAGGTAAGCCCATGCTATATTTGCATGTAAAAACTCATTTTAGGGTCCTAAAAAGTATATTTACTGAGATAGAATCCAGATTATTTTATTTCTTTATGTTTCTTATTTTTGCATAACTACCCTGGTATGAGACAGGCAACTATGAAATATGCTGAAAGTAACCAAAAATATTACACTGGAATATCAGCTCAATAATGGCAGACCCTAACATACTCTAAGATTCAAACATTAAGATATTAGAAATAAATTAACTGGAAAAGTATTCATGTAGAAAGTCTAGGCTTCATATGGTTTTTGGAATTCTATAAAAAATATGCTAAATACATAATGTAGGTAGAAAAAATCACAGATAATGTTTAGTTCATATAAATACTTTCTATTACCTATGATTTTAATACACAGCAATGCAGTCAAATAGAAAATATATTAAAATAGGAAATATTATCCTTACCTTTTAAAGGCATTATTTTGTGAGAGTTTTAAAAAGGAAAATATTTTTACCTCCCAGTCCTGGTCTAAGCCGATTATCGTAACCATCCAGAAGTCTGTCTAGAATTCTTGTAAAGATGGTAATGTTATTTTTAGCCTCATCTTCTTGGATGTTAGCCAGCACCAACCTAAACAGATAATTTTACAAGCTGATATATACACATATGTGTGTTTTGCAAGTGCCACCATGCTCTTATTTCTTGATTTGATTTTAAGGCTCCCTAAACTATAAGTGCCACTCATTTTTCTCCTTTTTTTTTCACCTTTGTAAATACCAGTATGTCTATAGGGAAGGTGAACATGCTGTTAAAAATGGATACTACATTGTAGCTTGTCAGAAGTTTGATGATAAAACTATTTGATATTTCTTCCACTTAGCATTTTAAATGTTATTCTTACTATTTCCCTAGAATTACAATGTGATTATAGATTATCATTTGCAGACACTATTAGTAATATTATTTCACAGTCACAATAATAATAATCAATGAAGCTCCTGCTATAACTCTTCACTGTTTTGAATATTAATTTGAAAACAAATTGCCTGATTCTAGATACAAAATTTTTCCATCTTTCTCAAAAATATATTTTTCTTTCTATGTCTTTTGCTCTTTTAAACCAAGATTGCTTCCTTACTTTGGGTATACCTCCACCCAATGGCCAACTGCAATATAGACATCAGGGAAACTCCTCTGGCTGTGTGCCAGGCTTCACTGTAGCCAGAAGGTGGAGGTGGGCTCTGGAGGCATCAGCAACACACACAGCTGCAAAGCCCTGGAGGGCTAGTCCCTCCTGACTGTTCTCAGAAGAGGACTAAGGGACCACATAAAGATTAAAATGCCCAGTTACCTTTTTATGGTGATAAATTTGTAGGAAGAACAAATGATCTTAAAATATCGAGAAAGGGTTTAGAAACGGTGATTTTCTCCATTATTTGTCCATCATAAAGCCAAAGACCTGATTTTGTGACATCCAGCAATTTGGTGAAGAAGGAACTGAATGTATAAAACAGAATGTCCCTTTTCATTGCCTTTTTTTTTTTTTTTTTTACTTAGAATGATTCAGAGATTTAAATTACTGGCCCCAAAAAAGAATCATTTATATAATAGAATAAAATACTAGCATGAACATTTCTGGTCAAATATAGAACAGAAAACTAGTAGAGAGAATTTTAGTTAACCACTGAGGCTTTGCAATCATTATTAATTGAGGATAGAGTGTTCATGCCTTAAAAATCAAAGACAATAGGTAAATTACCTTCTGATCAAGGTGTGTTGTGTAAAATACCATTCAGAGAATCCATTTATATTTAAATGAATACAGAGCTAGTAGGTAAGAATACTCTTAACACATCAAATAATCATAACTAAATTCTAGTAATTATTGCTTTAAGAGTAAATATTTTAAAATTAACATGAAAATAACATTTTACAAATTATGTAAGTAAGTCAATTCATACATTCTAGCCTCAAAAGTTTCTATGCTTATTTTAAAACTAATCCCCAAAATAGTCATGAAGTTTCACACAGAGATTTTCATTCAAAAGTGTTTTAGTCACATTTCATATTTTCTTTCTAAAGTCAATATTCAGATGTTAAACTAGTAGATATTTTCAAATTACATTGTCTTTATCAGTATATATTTTCTTCAAATCAGGAAAATATTTCCACACTTTGACCATTTGGGGGGGATGGATATGAAACTTAAAGGGAATTAAATGATACTGGGATTTTTTTAAAGCATGGTTACAGGATCATTCTCAGGAAACTTGTATTTTAATTCTTCTGGTATTTGGTAAGTCATGATTATAAAAAAAATCAGAAAAGACTAAAACTAAGATGAAGTTTTTGAAAGCAATAAAAAATCAATTTTATGTTTGTTGAGCATAGGCAAACTAAAATTAGTTATACATTTGAAATAAGTACTCTTTTTGACAGTAACCATTTGAGTAATAAAAGATCTCTAAATTAATAATTTGCAAAGTAGATTAATAAATCAAGCTTTTTGTTTTATTGTTTGTGATTGTGGAGTTGTATACTACCTCCACCTAGAGGTTTAAGACTTACACATCATTTAGGTTTTCCATGTTGACTAACAGAACCAAGACCATCTTCAAAACAGGAAAGAAAACATTAAGTTGCAACTCAAATAATTTAACAGGTACTTTGCTGTCTGGCTTGAAGGAAAACTTGGCTTTTTTTTTTTTTTACTGAATTTTGTTTTATTTTAAGAGTCTATAATTTAATCATTTCAATTCCTTGTATGAATATGCCATTAAAAGGATATTTTTCAGTGAATTATTTGTATTAAAATGTTTCTTTTCAGTTTTACATTTGATTGCTAAAAACAAGAATCAGCAAACTTTTCATACTTTCTGCCACTTTATAGTTCACTCTCTGGTACAGTAGTTTTTCATGAGAAATAATTGTTCAAAACACCCTGATTTTCATAAGTCACAGCTGTACTGATGGCATTCAAAAACACACCTTTACCCCGAATTAAAAGTTAAACACAGGAAATATCTCACCTGGCTGGATCCCACACCAAGAAAACAAGCAGCAGGGATTGCATGTTGGAGATATCCAATTTCGCCTTCATCACCTCTCTTTGCCAAGCAATGGAAAATAAAAACAAAATACACTTAAAATTGCCTTCAGTCCCACCACCCAAGTAACCCCAAACAGTGTCATTTCATTTGGGAATTGGAGTTAATGCTATGAAAATTATTCTGTGAACTGAGTGCAGGGAGAGGAGAATTTTCTTTTTTCTTCTTTCTTTATTGGGGGGGGGGGTAGCAAGATGACCAAGTAATCAAATCAGTCTTTGCTCTGCCAGGAACTTCCCCAACCCCATCCTCAGCAAATACTGTTTTATCATTGTTTTATGCACACATGAAATAATAGCGCCAGGACTCTAAACTGACAAATGATCTGGAGAAGGGAAGAGGTTAGAAGGGAGAGTGGGGAAAAAAGGAGAGATGGGTACTTCATGCCACAACCCCTTTAATCAAGACCACCCTCCACAAACACAGCGGGAAAAGCAAGGGGCAACTAGCTCACTTTTTCAATTATTATTCTCTTCTTTACAATGAATTGCCGTCCTCATGTCTTCACTTCCTCCAACATACAATAAAATGATATCAAATCAAATCAAAATTTCTCTCCCTGCCCATCCATGGTTGCCCAAGACCACGTCTTGGAGGCAGCTGGTTGCAGATCAAATGCTGCGAAACGACGCGTTTGACAGCTGCTCTGGAGCAGAGGACCACAATAAGAGAAGAAGCGTGAGGCTCCCTGATCAAACACCAGGCAGGCAGGCAGCAGCTATCACAGTGTGCAAAGTTGGAGACTATAAAAGAGCTAGGCTAACGTGCTGCTGAGCAGGCTCCTGGGTCTTATTGTAGTTGAAAATATGTTTCTGATGATCAGTATTAAAATTATTTTTTAAAAGGTTGGAGAGAAGAGGGGCATCTGAGCCTCCTCGGTTTCCAGGGAGCATCCAAGAGTGGAGTAGGGGGAGATGAGACATGCAGCGAGGCAAAGGCAAATGATAAAAGGTCCCTAGCGGGACCAACGTGTGCGACCCTACCTGAAAGAGCAAGGCGAATTCGATGTTTTCCTTCCTTTGCCCCGATCTTGAGAAGATAGGAAACTTGAGAGGAGAGAGAGAGAGAGAGAGAGAGAGAGAGAGAGAGAGAGAGAGAGAGAGAGAGAGAGAGAGAGAGAGAGACTGACTGCAGCAGCTGAAGGAGCCGGGGAGCGAAGGGCTGGTGGAAGCCAAAGGGAGAGCGAGGAGCGGCTGAGGCGGCGCGAGGAGTACAAGGAGGCGAAGGCGTCCGTAGTGGCGGTGATGGGCGGAGGAGGAGGAAGAGGAGGAGGGGGAAGCGATGGCAAGAGCTGGGGAGGGGGGGCGCGGGCGGAGGCGCGTTGCGCGCTGGCGGTGGCGGGCACGAGCCCCGCTCATGGAGGAGGAGGAGCTAGGCTGGGGAGGAGGGCTAACGAGGTTCCAGAGAACGCAGGGACCCCCCACCCCGACACACACACACACCCACCCCAATCCCGGGTAACCGACTGCCGCCCTCCCCGCACCTGCAGCGGCACCGCCAGGGCGGCGTTGGGCGCCGGGGCGCGCCCTGAGCGCGGCTCCCGGTGCCCACGTCGCGCAGGAGGAACGGAGCCCACGCGCCGCCTGGTGCTGCTCCCTGGAGGCCCTGAGACTCTTGGGGGGCTGCTGGTGGGTGTTGGTGCGGAGTCGGAAATGCTGTGTGTCTCTGAGGCCCTAGATTCCCTGGGCTGAGCCCTGCCGCTGGTCCCCCGACATCCTTGGGCTGTGGAGCGACGTGGCTGCCTAGAAGAGGTAAAGAGGTATCGCTCCCGCTGGAGGGCGAGGGGACTGATCACGCCTTTACTTAGTCATCACCGCATCCACGCAGGACCAAGTTCAACGCGTGTTGCGTGGAATCAGGCAGCAGGAAGTTATCTTTGATTTCCTGAGCCCTCTTAATAGACTACTCATTCTTGCACACTCTTGCAATCAGGACCAATTTCCCCTCAAAACTCTGAGGGCTTGAGACTTCCCGTGAGCCTGCCAGTAAAGTCCATTTGCAGATTGTACACCTTGGGACAGCTCCCGCTCACTCACTCTCAGCAATCTTTTTTCCTAACCTCTTTTCTCCCTACCAAGTGACGAAATTCAATCAACAGCTCTAAAAAGTTTACATTACCCCTGAGCAAAAAAGGACCTGCTGTGCTTCTACTACCTCTGCAGTTCATTTCCCCAGGGGTTGGAAGGTTTGAGGTTTTCTGTTTTAGGGCTTTTTTGCTGGCAGAGACTTGTAATTCCGTTTCCATCATACACTTTTAGCATTGTGTGTTTTGATCTGCCTGATTTTTCGTCTATTTTATCTGAGGTAATGAAATCCAAACGTGCAACTTGAACAAAAAGAGCAGGAGACAGGTTTTTCCTTTTTGTACTGCACATACACAAAATGTTATGCACATTCTATTAAGGCAAAGTAGATCCAGTGTTTATTTCTTCCAGAAGTTGTTATAAACATTAGACACTTTTAAAGAAAAGAAGATAAGTATGGTGATATGTTTTTGTCATTTTACATTCAGAGTCAATATGTGCCAAACACTTCAGTTTTGTTAGTTATGCACCAAAAATTCAGATGTTTTTCCTAGATGGTGCAGTTTTCATAACAGGCACTGCTAATCTACAGTGAGATTTTAGCTTTACTTTGAAGATTATGTGAGGAGAGTAAAACCTCTACATTGTAAATATTTCACGTTGTCCTTTTAACCTACATTAGCTATCATTTTCTGAGCATTTAATATGCTACAACCTAAATAAACATTTGCTCTCTTATTTAGCTGGCTCTGTGAAGAATGGAACACCACCCAGCTTTCTCCTCCATCATTAATATTCCTTTCTCGACTTGCCCATTGCAGAGTCTAATTGAAATTCACAAAGATAAAAAGCATGCCATTTAAAACCTTGCAACCAGGGAATCTAAAAGTCTTATACTTGGCGTGAACACATCACTTACTATTGTATGTTCCTTTTCCATTTTTCCATTTCTATGAGTCAATCTTTATTAGGAGCTCTATCATTCTTCTTTTTATATTACTGTGAAATTGTTTATATTTTGGTAATGGAAGTTGAGCAGAGCATGGTTTCTTTCCAACCTTAATTGTCATACTCCAACAAAATTTATTTCATGAATATCACAATTTTGTAAATATCTTCATATATTATTTTCATACCTACCACTATGGTCTTTTCCCTGGATATTAATACTGACTTATAGATCTTGTTTTTAATTGCTTTATTTAAAAATTTATAGCTATTGAAATTAGTTGCACTTAAATACCAGCTTTTCCCATTAGCACCCTTATTAAATTTGTAATCTCATTGACATATGACACATTTTTATGGAACATCACAAAAGTTCAACCTGTTCTTAATGATTTTTACCCATTACTTTGGGGGGGGGGCAAGATTATATGTTACAACAGCTCACAGATTGAGATATGCATTTAGTGGACCCACAGTAAAAACTAGATTAAAAAAATCCTAATTTTTGTTTCTTCCCCACAAACTGTTTTGCAACTTTAGTGACATTTGATAGCTATAATTTAAACTTTAAATCTGATGAAAAGGAATGGAAATTGGAAAATTTACTGCTGGCAGTAAACCTCAAATTTGTAGCTATTACAATTCTGATTATAATACTGATATTTCATTGTCCAGAAAAAATTCTTTGGAAATTCAGAGGATTGTCCATGTTCCCCATCTAAAAAGTCCAGCCCAGTCTTCTCAGCAGTGATAAAATGCAGTTAACCACCTGAGATTGGAGAGCCAGCCATGTGGCTGGTGACTAAGCCCTTTCTACCCACCCCAGTGGGAACACATCCCAAGGCAAACAGTGCTGGAGAAGAATTGGCAACTAATTGACTGCCAATAAATTCATTCCTACCCAGGTTTGACCAATGAAGAACCTCCTGCTCGAAACTGTTTAAATTATTCTCCCACAAATTGGAATCAGGGTGTCATTTGTCCCATCCCTAACATCCATATCTCTTTAAGAAATTTTGCACATAAGGACCAAGTATAAAAGAAAGCCAAAGAATTAGGAAACCCTTGATTTTGTCTGTCTTTTCTTCCCTTATATTCCTATGTTCTTCATAATATTGTAAAAATTTTTAAATTTCTTACAAAAACTATGTTTTTGAACAGATGTTTCTTAGAGATTCCATTATTAGGGTCCAGCTTGGTACTGCTTCTACAGAGAACTACTACTCTTTCTGTCCTGGGGCTTAATGAGTCATTAAGCTTTCTGATATATATAATATGTGTGTGTACAGGAGTTTATACACATATTATTATATATTGTGTGAGACATATGTGTATATAATATGTATATATGTGTTACATATACCTATATACCTAAATGCATGTGTACCAATTGATAGCTAACTAGATGAATAAAAATAGTATTGACTATTTGGATTTAATATTGCATGATTTGATTATGGTGATTTTTATATACTTTGAAGAGAATACCAGACTTACTTCCATAAGACTTGCATTTCACCATATCAATTTTTAAATATCACTATATAATAAATTTTTATATATTTAAGTACATACATTCTTGTGTGATTTATTCATTTAAATGAGGATATGGGTTTGTGAAAAGTTGGGAACTGAAGTACAGATTATTCAGTTTTCACAAGATGAAATACTGTCTTATACTTTCCCTCCTGCATGTCTTACTAACTTCAAAATATGTTTGGATGATAATTCTGTTCACATGTATTCACCACATTACAAAAAGACAAAAACAGAAAACAAAAAAAAAACTGGAACAAAGAACTATTTGGCAATTTTCAAGTCAAAATCATAGCTAGATCAAGCTTCTTTTTTCCTACAAGCTGAAATTACATGGATAGGTAGGCTCCCAGATTTTGAAAGAAAAACAGCTGGAAGGTGGGAGTAACTAGTCTTATAAACAAATAATCCCCAAACTACTCTCTACATTAATGTATCTAGGTCACATTTCATTAGAGCTAAATATATCATGTATACTGGCTTGAATAAGCTATGCACATTACCTTCTTCAAATTGAGTTAGTAACTCTGTTTTAAAAGTAATTTTACAAATCCTTATCTAACCTGCAAATCAAGAATATCAAGCATTTGGGATATCTTGGTGATTTCTGATACTTTAAAACTATTTGTACTATCATACAAAAACAGAGTAGTAAGGAGTTTCTTTTTCTCTCCTTTTGTGAAATTAGAATTTCTTTCCAGGTAATTCAATCATATCCTAAAACAAAAGGTAAAACTCCAGTGATTCAAACTAAATACCTCTATAGAAAAATATACTGTATATTTTGTTGAAGGATAAGTTGCCACATGGTCAGCAGCTTTTGCCTGAGATATGTCCTCTAAGAAGTAATCATAGTCGTAAAAGTAATAATCATAAGGTTACAATTTCTTCATTTGTATAACAGTTTAGATTTAATTTTAAATACTCTGTGTACATTAACTCATTTAATGTTCAAAAGTAAGAGACTGCTATCCTTCCCATTTCACTGATGAGAAAATTTGGGCACAGAAAGATCATGGTCTTTCATTGGTGGAATCAGGTAGAGCAAAGCAATATGACCCCAGAGTTTCCCTTCTTAACTACTATACTGCTTATAATAACATCTCATGATGCATAATTATGCAGAAGTAGCCAGCAACAATAATAGCACCAAAGTCAAGGGATGGGGGACCTGGACCTAACCTGAGCCTGTTTTCAAACATTGCAAGTAGAATAAGGTTGACTTCAAACAAAGGAATGTTCTTGTGTCATTATTTACATCATCAGACTCTTCTGTCTTGAGAGGAAGAGAGGGTAAATGTATGAAAAATAAATAAGTGAAAACCAATCAAGCTATGAGTATTTCATGGTCAGTCGGAGACGTGAAAGAGAAAATAGAAACCAATTATTTTTAAGATAAAGTGAATAATGCCATGCCAAATTAATTATGGATAGCCAATGATTTTAAATATAGATCATTTCTCCATGGTAGGGACTCTTTGTATTTGCCAGAGTGGCTTGCTCATAAATACTCAATAAATAATTGCTGATCTTTGTAGAGTTCAGTACTTTGGAATAAAAATTGGGAGACGCAGTTCCACCATTAAAAATGGCATGACCTACAGCAATCTCAGCTACAGTAGATGCTAGTCCCTCCCAAATCTCTGTCTCCAAAAAATTCACTATCACTCTTAGACATTT